TATCGAGGGGGGGGTCGAAACGATCGCAAAGGCGGTATACTACGTATACGCGCCAATAAAGACAATTTTAAGCAACTTGCATTTAAACCATGTCTTTTTTGTTAATTTAGCTACAAAATATTAGAACATTTCCAGGAAAAGGGACTTTAGTACCGGAAATCTCAAAACGGAGACATTGGTACCGCTGCTCAGAGGAGTGTTAAACGAACATTTAGGTACAGAAGGCCCGTCAAACATGTCCATAGGGGACAAAAGTGCGAAGAGGAAAACAGACAGATAAACTGTAATAGCTCTAAGAATAGAGGGATGAATTCTCGTTGGCAAATAAAATAACTTATTTTGAGTGCAGTCAATAAATATAACTTATACTCTATCTACATGCTAGTAGAAACACTAAAACTTGTGTTCCCACATGTGTGCTGTCTTTTCATACTTTTTAATATTTCCCTAATTGTTCTACCCTAAGCGTACAATTCCGAAGACTTATTCGATGTAAGAGATCAATTCTATAAAGATTTCAAAGGCTTCTTTGCGCAGAGAAACTTTTCTTCCGAGCATGCATCCAGTACTTCGGATAAAAGTTTTTGTTTAAAAAATGGAACAATTTAAAGCAACATGAACTATCTTCATTTTGACTTGGATCCTGGGAGCTTGAAACGTATGAGGATACATGGAGAGAACTTAGTTACAATGAAGATACTTATTTTGGATTTAACTACGTCCAATTATGATCCGAGGTTAGTAGTTCTTTTTCATTTACTTCCCGAACTCTTTTCTCTGATATGCCCCCCCCCCTTCCCAAATGGTTGCCCCTCTTTCATGATTTGCTCTGATTTTCCAAATACCTCCTTTTCAGCCGCTCTGTACAAGGAAAAATAGAGGTAGGGGCTGAGTCTTAACTTACATTTTTCCAATGAATCGTGGTAGTATCCCAAAAACTTGATAAGAGAGCGAGAGACACAATAGCCCGAATGCAGACAACAATAAAAACACACTAAAATACAAAAAACAAATGGGTATACAAGGCTAGATGAGACATAAAACAACCAGGACTAACTTGGTTACCATCCCAAATGTTGCGGCACTATTCGAACTGGAATTGCGGTACTACCAAAATTATTTGAAAATGTTCAGATCATCCAACAAATAGGGGTAGTACCACAATTCGTCGTTTGCTCCACCAGAGTGCGTAACTCTATTTCAATGTTGCCGAATTTTCCCTCGGAAATGTCTTTTTTCCCAAGAAAATCTTGGACATTTTTAACCGAAAAATTTCACTGATTTGTCCTCCGATCTCACGCAAAAATCAGAAAACTTTTGAAAACTCACAAATCTTTGCGGGTACATTCCTGTAGAAAATTGAATCGTTTGAATCAATTTTGCAACCTTGGATTGGAGTTGCGTTCCTTCGTCCTGGAAACGACGAAATTTAAGGGATAACCTCTAACACTTTTTTCCGTGAATATTTCTGTCGAAGGGTCCATGACACAAACAGAAATTATTCTTTAGGCAGAGTAAAATTCGTCTCGACGTATTGGACTTCGTCAATATCATCGAGGTCATCCATAAGCTGCGTAATTTTTCCAACGAGTTCTTTATCGGTGATCTCCAGTACGTTCTTAGGGATGAACGAGAGGCGGGCCAACTCCGGATCTCCCAGCTTCTTGATGAGGGCGTCCCTGACGATCCCGAACTGCTTGACGTCGCAGGTGATCTCCGCGATCCCTTCGTCGGCGTCCTCCTCGACATCGATGACGTCCAGGTCGGTGGCCAACTCGTAGATATCGTCGAATTTGGTCGCGTTCGTCCTGTAGACAATTAGACCCACTTGGTCGAAGAGATGCTTCACGCTGCCCGCTTCACTGAGTTGTCCGCCGCGGCGGTTGAAGACTTTTCGTATAAAAGCCACAACTCGATTCTTGTTTTCCGTTTGCACCTAGAAACCAAAAATTAGGGAAACAAAAATAATCATGCCAGGAGGTCGACTGAGGGATCTAATGAATAAATTTTTCCGGAAAGACTTTAACAAGGTTTCTACTAAAATTTCATTTTGGATCTTCCTGATATTTGGTGGATGACAGACTACGTAAGCAGGCACTAAATTAAATTGGATTCCTCCTGGAAAGAGACGTGTAGGGGACGCCTGGCGAAATCGGGGGTAGGTGCCATTCAAATCTTCAGCATCATTCGTCGATTAGTGTAATCAAAATTTGATGTAATGGTCCACTAGACAAGGTACGAAGTTAAGCATACGAAAATCCGATACGAAAAAAGCTACGTTTCTCATTTTCAGCTTTTCTGACAAATATCCTACAATTTTGGTTTGAGATTATGTTCTATTATTTTGGACCAAGCGATACATCGAATACGATCCATATTTCCTGAGTTGTAAAAAGCTGTTATAAACGGCAATAAAAGTGCAAAGAGTGAAATGATACCTTGATCATTAACGCGGTACCGCCAGGGCCGTACGCTTCGTAGTGGACCTCCTCGTAATTTTCCATAGCAGCGTTACCCAAGGCTTTTTTGATGGCGGCATCTATCTTTTCTTTCGGCATGTTTACTTTCCTCGCTTCCAGAATGGCGTGCCTCAGACGCGGATTCGAACTTGGATCTGGCGCACCCATTTTCGCTGCTACCGTGATTTCCCGGATACTTTTCGTGAAGAACTTGGATTTCTTCTTGTCCTGCCGCCCTTTCCGATGTTGGATGTTCCCGAAATGCGAGTGGCCTGCCATTGTTAAACCATGCTGTGCAAAATAAATGCAAAGTGTATTAAGCTCATATTCACTGTCGTTCCTTAAACAGCGCCTTATTTTTAAGAAGACCTACGCTGCCGTACTAAGGAAGAACGCCGTATGAGCTTCCAGATGTTGCCAAATTTCCTTCAATAAATAGCAAATTTACTATAGGAAAATTGTGAATATTTTTCTTCAAATTGTCCAGACAGTTTGGTTCACAATTTGACCTAAAATTTCTGAAAATTTTAAGGAGATATATGAATAACTTTCCTCGGAAATACGTGATTTATTCGTGGAAATTTGGCAACTCTCGAATGTTTATACGATGTTTTTCCTTCGCACGGAAGCACGGGTCCCTCAAAGGTTGTCATTACTTCCTCCCTTTGTCCATTGCATCCACCCACTTCCACCAATAGGATTGCTCCATTTTCTCTTAGTATCTTTGCCCATCAACTTCAATAATCGGCCTGTACCCGACCTAAGCCTGGAACCTGTAACCTAGTAGGCGCCATCAGGTAAGTGTTGCTGGGATAGTGCATGGGTACTCCCTCTTAAATGACCTAAATGCCCCTACTTCATGGACTTTTTAATTGGACATTGACCCTAAATTTTGGTAATAATTTCATTACTAGAATTGTAATCATCGACATTTGAGAGCGAGACTCTCACAATGATAGAAAGAGGTTTTGTACCTCCACTCTTCAAACAGACCCCTTGGTTCCACCAAAACTTAGTAGTCCGAGAGCCAGACGTTAAGTAACCAAATCTTGACACAATTTTTGATCATTTATAACTGCACTGACTTGGAAAATAGTCGTCTACCACGTGATGGTGATGGCACACGCTACAACGCAACGAAGCAGATGACCGTTTTCCATGTCAGTGCATGTAGAGCTATCGATTTAAGTGGTCCAAACTTGTGTCACAAGTTAGTCACTAAAAACTGTCTGTCTCTCAGACTATGGAGACATTACCTTGACCGAATTCCAATTATGATGAAGCTGATTTCTCAATTACTTATGTTCTATTTGTTAGATTAACTAATCATCAGATCTATGCGTGTGATATGAGTCCTCCATGCTCTATGCTACGATGTGCTTCCCTCCAAGTTCGCTCTCTTTTTTTATGTCAATGGCTTCTGCTAGACCGGAGCTGCGCAGTGTAATATAAAAGGTGGGACTGGGAACGTGCGCACCTCGGTTTTCGGCAGTTTTGATTTAGCTGTATGAGGAGTTTCTTGTGTACCATTAAAATATTTGATTCGGAAAAATCGGGAAGTTACACAAATATGTGAATCAATTACCGCATATGTCGAGCCGGCGTCTGTGTGATTCTATAGACTACATAAAAATCAGTGTTCCTAAGGAGATCAAACACGGGGGCTACTCGTCTGTAGTTGCCTGTACCGCCTCTGTTACACTACGTGCGCTATGTGGATGCTCCTCGACCTATTTACCGGAATGAAACCCTTATAAGTGGAGCAGTATTTTTAAGAAAAAGGGGAAAACGAGTGCAAATTTTCAAAGACCGAATTAGAGGTCCGTGGTTTGGTTTTTAGCCATCTTTTATTGTGATTCAGCAACGACACCGGCTCGGTGACCGGTGCTGAAACACACAAATAAGCACATTGCGAATATTCCGGTGCAGGCAAGAAAAGTCAGGGCGCCTTCAAGTGTTGTTTATGCAACACGCATAGCCACGGAACACGATTAGTTGCATTCAGGCACTGTGAACAACTTTACCTATCTCTGCGCATCTGTCTGAGAAAAACGGAGTCTCAAAACTGAGAGAAACGGAGAACAATTCTACTGCGAATGTAAAATCACCAAACCACGTACCTCGATTTGCGACGTTGCCAATCTCCTGCCACATTTTATTTTCCAAAAAGGTCTGATTGTTATTTGTGCGCTGTATTGATTGTTTTTCTCCGAGTTTTTCGAAAGTATTCTGTGAAGATTTTCTTATATATTTCTGAAAAAATCGTGCTTTCTGAGGTAAACACTTCCGCAGTTTTACTGTCGGTACATCAATATACTAGGCGCAATCATATTTATTCTTTGTCATTAGCACCTATGCCAACTTAATAGCTAAATGGGATCTCCCCTGGTAGCACAGCTCGGATCGGTAAGGTTTTAGAAACATTCCACTTGTGTCGAAACTGATTTATCTCGATGAAACATATTAGAAACATTTCAGAAATGTTTCAATGACGCAAATACTTTGAACATTTCATTGAAACATATCCAAAACATTTTGAAAATGTTTTCAAATTGGATACATTTAACACAACAGAAATGTTTTGAAAACCAATCCGAAACATTTTACAAAAGAAAAATTTGGAGGGGAAATGAAATGTTTTAAAAACATTTTGAAGACAAAGTTGCGAGTCATGTAACATATTTCATCAGAGACAACATGTTTTGAACACAGTTTAAAAATATTTTCATTTCATCT